TTATGTATGAATTAATTCAGCTATATAGTACTTCTTCACCCTTTGTATATTTCCTAAAGAATTATATGAGGAAGGTTTGAAAGATTTAGCATACCACATATATATGGGATGTAGTGACAAAAACTGTAGAGACTACCTATAAAATATTCACAAGATGCGCAGAAGTTAAGCACCCCATGAACCAGCAGCTTTTGGGTCACCGGGCTCCATTACCCAACAAGCTGTTGGTTGATGGTGAGCTGTGTTCACTAAACCAAGGGTCCTGCACAGAAACAGGGGAGCTATCCTGCACCTCCTCCATTGCACTCAAGCACTCAGGTGTCCTATGTGGAACCATCAATCTTTGACTTCCTATCCCTGCTTTCTTAGTTGTTGTTCCACCTAGTGATTTCTCACTCCCGGCATACATAGATGAACAAGAAGATACTGATGATCCCATGCATATATTCTCCTCCATCGGTGCCCACCCGCTGAGCCTAATCTGTTCTAGTTCATCTGCCACTTCCATCATAGAAGGCCTCATGTCCCTATGAAAAGCAAGGCATCTAAAAGCCAGCTCAGCCACCTTGAGTATAGATGTCAGCGTCCAAGCATCCCTGTGTAGCTCAAGGAATGGATCTACTATCTCCTCCACACGACCTTTACCAATCCTGTCGATTGCAAGCGCAGCCAAATTAATCTCACTGTGACCTCGAGAGAAATCGACCACTTTTAATGCGGTTATTATCTCTATAAGAACCACCCCAAAACTGTAAACATCACTTTTATCAGAAAGATGGTAGTTTTGATGGTACTGAGGATCAACATAGCCAGGAGTTCCTTGGGGTGCAGTGGAAATATGAGAATCATTAGTCATACCAAGTCTAGAAAGACCAAAATCTGCTACCTTTGAGTTGAAGTTGCAATCCAAAAGTATATTACTTGATTTAATGTCTCTGTGGTATATTGGTGGATTCATGGCTGAGTGGAGATGAGCAATTGCATGAGCAGTTTCAGTGGCAATGGTGAGACGTATTGTCCATGGAAGGCCCTTACCCCTTTCTCTCTGCAGATGCTGAGATAAAGTTCCATTGGGCATAAATTCGTAAACAAGTATCTGTTCACCTTTCTCTATACAGCAACCTAAGAGACGGACTAGGTTTGGATGGCTAACAGAGGACAAAAGCTTGATCTCATTCATGACTTGTTCAATGCCGTCAGTGTCTCGATGCCTTATTTTCTTAATGGCAACCCACTCATCATTGTGAAGCTTTCCCGCATATTCTGGTGGGCGTGGTTCTGTAGTTCTTCTAGCCTTCCTTCATGTCGTAGCCTTAGCTTATCGACGGGTCTTGCATTAGATACATACAGCATTTTCTTTGACTCATGCCTTGGATAAGAACGTTCTTTGTTTGAGTTTGAAGTCGTTACCTTGCGGGAGCCACCTGGCGAGACCCTTCTCTTCTTTTTCTTTTCCATATGGTATGTTGAATCACAAGTGAAGTCGACTTCACTTGGCCGTGTCTGCTTCAACTTCACCCTAGACTCGTGTCGTATAGTGTAGCAAGACTAACAAGTGGTCGAGTGAATTTATGAACGAGCAACTATTATAAGCAATACCTTTCTATTTTTTTGATTCTTCCTCCACTCACCTCCACGGGCGAATATAGTCTACTACACTAGCCAAGAAAGAGTGTAGTAGACTATATTATAGGTCATTCGGAAGGGCTCCGTATAGTTCTATTTTGGGGCGTAACGTTGTGGTTGTTCCCTCGACTGACCGAGAAAAACAAGTTCAAGAGGCATCTTCCATTCATATCGATTTGGGTTTTTCCGCACCATATTTTGATCTGCCTCTTCTTCGATCCGGAATTCCCAGCAAATCCTTGACTCCTCGAATACAATGGGATTTCACACCTGGCGAATCTTTTACTCTACCTCCTCTTATTAAGACCATAGAATGTTCCTGCGAATTATGACCTTCGCCTGGAATGTGAGCAAATATATCATGTCGATTGCTCAACCGTACTTTGGCTATCTTACGTGGAGCTGAATTAGGTTTTTTCGGTGTTCTCGTTGGAACACGCGGGCATACTCCTTGCTTCTGGGGACATTGATCCGAAGCTCGAGTACGGTCCGTGCGCCGTTTTTCTTCCTACCATGACGAATCAATTGATTTAATGTAGGCATCGCTCTTTCCTTTGTCCTTCCCCGATTTTTTCCCTATCACTAGTGGTTACTCCCGATCCGAAGCACCCCTTTTCCATTCATAGAGAAATCCAATCGTCAAAATCAATAAAAAGGCCATCATGGACCAAAATCCAAACGGATCAATCTTGTTGGGAGGTACTGCCCAAGGAAAGGAAAAGGTGACTTCGGATCAGGAATAATAAATAAAATGGAAACAAGATAAAATCGTATATCAAAACGACTTCTGGCATCACCGGAAGGATCGAAACCACATTCGTAGGCCGACAATTTTTCTGGATAGGTCGAACTATTGGAAGCAAATGGAAAAGGAACACCGAGTGGGATCAAGAAACTAGCGGACTGATCACTAAATAGATACAAATAGGTGCAAATTCTGACATCACCACAGCCCACTTGGTTCTCTCGCTCCTTGCTCGCGGAGCGGCATACCGGAAAAAAAGAAGGATTCAATCCAGCCCATAGGTTCTCCCTACAGCTACCTTGTTGCGAACGAAAGCCAAGCCCAGTTCTCGCCGATAGGGTCGCGACGGAGGATGTCGAAGATGAAGTGCGCGTTCATGTCGTCACCCCAATTAGAAGAACATTGTATTTAACAATGAAGTTACGTAATCCTCTAAGGGCGTTGACATCGGCCTCCGGCGACTGATAAAAGACTCCTGCCGAGCAA